TGCTGTTTTGTGCGTCGTCCCGTTGGAGTGAAGTCCTTTGAGGTCTCCGTTGTTTCATATAGCTTCAAGTAGAGGCTCCAGCATCAGGGCAAAAATCAGCAGGGAGAGTGGGCATCCTTGTCTTGTCCCGTTACAGATTGGAAAGGGAGTCGTGAGCACCCCATTCACAATGACTTGTGCGCACATTCGGCTGTATATTGCGGCTATTCAGGTGAGCAGGTTGGTGCCAAAGCCCATCTCCCTGAGCAGCTACAACAGGTAGGTCCAATCAGGGCCGGATTAACATAGGGGCTGATGGAGCTGCTGCTCCAGGCCCAGGCCCATTGATTTATAAAAAAAAATCATTTTCATTTTTTTTCTTACATTTTTTTTTTTTTTCACACTCTACTCTTAGGGAATCCACCTGGCATTTATTTTATTGGCACAGCCAGTATTTGAGGCTGCCTGGCTGGTGCCAATATTACAGTAATACTGGCAATACAAATGCTGATATTTTTCTCAGTATAAACAAGAGATTACTATGCAATACCAGCACTGGCCAGTAGGGGTCGCTGTATGTGGAGACAGGCAGGGATAGGAAGTTCCAGCATATCCCTCCCTGCCTATCTATACTCACTGATCTGCAGGGGTGCAGCTACAGAGAGTCCAGACAGCAACTCCCACCCTGCAGAGATAGCCTACAGCTCAGGGAAGTAAGGGATGGGGGGAAAGGCTGCAAGGAAACATGGGTCACTGAGACACTAAGGGACATTGTGAAACATTATGACACAGACACATGGGGACACAGCCAGAGTCCCCTAGTCTCCCAGTGTCACTGGTGTCTCCGTGTCCCTAGGTCTCCCCGTGTCCCCAGGTCTTCCCGTCTTCCTAGTGACATGGGGACCCTGGGATACATGGGGACACAGGGAGACATGGGGCATTGATACACTGTGATACATAGGATCACTGGGAGACCTGGGGACATGACACTAGGGGACACTGGGAGACATGGGGCACTGAGACACTGATACATAGGAACACTGAGACCTGGAGTAATCGACACATGGGGGCACTGGGAGACATGGGGCCACTGGGAGGAATCCATATATACAGCAGAATCAAACAAAGTAGTTTTTTTGGTGATTTTACAGCATTTTCTCTTATGTCACTCCTTGTGATTTACATCATGTGATGTCACCCATACATATTTAATTATGCAAATTAGCAAGGGTGGTATGTTTTTCCAAGAAAGGTGGCAACCCTAACTACTTTTCACATACTCTTATTTAAGTATGGAAACTTAAGAGGGATGGATGGGAACAAAACTTGTGTGGACTGGCTGACAATGAATATAGTTAAAGGGACACTAGAGTCACCAGAACAACTACAGCTTATTGAATTTGTTCTGGTGAGTAGAATCATTATCTTCAGGCTTTTTGCTGTAAACACAGTCTTTTCAGAGAAAATGCAGTGTTTACATTACAGCCCAGTGATAACTTCACTGGCCACTCCTCAGATGGCTGTTAGAGATCCTTCCTGGGTCATGGCTGCCTAAAATGCATCCAAACATTCAGTGTCTCCTCCCTCTGCATGCAGACACTGAACTTTCCTCATAGAAATTCATTGATTCAATTCATCTCTATGAGGAGATGCTGATTGGCCAGGGCTGTGTTTGAATCATGCTGGCTCTGCCCTGGATCTGCCTCTTTGTCAGTCTCAGCCAATCCTATGGGGAAGCATTGTGATTGGATTAGGCCACCACTTCTAATGATGTCAGCAGACTGCTTGTTTTTATGAGTCTAACAGCATGCAGAGTTACAGCTCCAGGCTTGAATACAGTAAGATTTTGCTATATTTATGGAGGCATGAGGGGCCCAGGGGGCTAGATGGTGGTGTTAACACTATAGGGTCATGAATTCATGTTTGTGTTCCTGACCCTATAGTGATCCTTTAAGGTAATGCTGACTTTGGTCTCTCTAACACTGTGGCATGTTCCCTTTCTTCTACACTCACTACATACAGCTTTTCTCTGTCCCAGACTGTATACCAGGAGCGTCTGCCTGCTAGTAAGAAGGTAAGGAGACAAGTGGGCCAGCGAGTGCTAGGGGACAGTCCTTAGAAAGCGTTGAGCGAGCGCATCATTAGATGCATTTATGCCAAGCTCAGGGTGCTGTCTGCATAGTATACCCTTAGTTGGCCAGCTGCATGATTGGCAGGCAGCCTGATATGCATTCATACCAGGCTGGCCTTCTAATTCTTTGGGCAGACATATCCTCTTTTTGGACATGTTCTGCCTTTTGGCAGGTTACGTGATTTGTGTTAGTGGCACACCCTTTTACCGTGCCCATTGACTTCCTGCTTGCTTGGACACTGCGGTTAGGGGTTATGGATTTACTTGAAAGATGAAAACATAAATTAGTGAAAGATTAGCCTAGGGTATGTGTTTTCTTATAGCTGCTGTTTTTTCTCTCTCCAGCACTATCTCCATCAGATACATGATGCTTGGGAGTGTTTTACTGTTTTTGGTTGATATGATTCTGTAATTAGGCCCGTCATAATTGTCAGCACCAGGCCCACTGGGCTCTTAATCTGGCCCTGGGTCCAGTCCACCCTGTCGAAGGCCTTTTCCGCGTCGGTGGAGAATAATAGTAGTCGGTTCCCTGAACGTTTGGCTAGGTGCTGGATGAAGAGGGCCCGTAGTGTGCTTTCTCAAGCCTCCCTGCCTGGGACGAAGCCAGTTTGATCCAGGTGGACTAATCTAGGGAGGAACGCGTTTAGGCGGCTCGACAGGACCTTAGTGAATAATTTAATGTTGATGTTTAGTAGGGAGATGGGCCTGTAGCTGCTGCATAGTTCCGGGTCTTTTCCCAGTTTGGGGAGGATAGTTATGGTTGCAGCTAGTGTGTCATCATGGAGTTTGTTCCCCGTTATGAGTGCATTCATTGCCTTGGTCAATTTGGGACAAGCCTGTTGCCAAATTTCTTGTAATATTCG